AGAGAGAGAGAGAGAGAGAGAGAGAGAGAGAGAGAGAGAGAAAGGTGTTCTTGCCGACAGTACAAAACCGACATCGAGTCAGCGAGGGAAAAGTTTCGGCTTTTACGATAGTTCGGGGGATGATCGCCTGAGGCCACCGCTGAAATTCGCCCGACTCTTAGAATGCTAAGCAGAAAAGCGCTCGGGGTTTTTCAATGTAATAGTCCGTGCGAAATAGCTCCGTTTTATCGCACCCGAGGTACTGGATTATCCGTTAAAAAGAAATAACAGTCCTCTTCGGCTATGCGCCGCTTCTGCTTCTATCACTGTGATTTCTTTTCCCAAGTAATGCTCCTCTCCGCTCTCTCCCGCATCTCGCACGGGGTTACGCGCATCTTCGCGCCGCTAACCATTTTTACTTATCGTAGCTCTCCGTTCTCGTGTGTACGTGTGTACGTATGTGTTCCTCTACCTTTCATGTTCCTCCAGGACAACGCGATTGATCGATGAACAGCACTCAGCGATTTCCGGGACACTCGAGCGAAAACGCGGACGGCGGTCCTTACTTCGCGTGGATTCAATATTTATTCGCGAAATTGAAGATGAACCTGATTGGGCCGACATATTATCGATCAGCTCGTACAATTGCAGCCTTGCGCGACGCGTACGTGATGTTGATTGACTTTGACAAATTGTGAATCGGCACGTGCGCGAGAAAGCACACGGCATATTGCGGCGTTCACCGGAGAGAGGGACGTTGATCAACTTTAATCAGTCGTTCCGACGCACTCGCGATCTGTAAAATTCCGCAGTCGCATTATCGATGCGCGCGATCTTGTTGTACAAGAATCTTTCGGTAATCGCGACGCGTTGAGTCACGTTTTATCGCGCTGTAATTTAACGCGGACGCGTTGTGTTAAGAATCTTTAACAACTCGGTCATTCGATATGAAGTCGTAAAAGGGCATTGTAGTCGATCGCGTCGTCGTTCTCATTTTATGTTTTAGACATTCCTCGGAGGTAAACGATCGCGTTGTCCGTTTCCCGCCACGATAATAATCTTCGCAGATCTCAGGTGTGAGCCTCGCGTGTCTCATTAGCGCGAATCGAACGTCAGCAGAAGTTCATGGCCGTCGCAATGAACTGATCCGACGGAGCGACTCCGAAGATCCGTTGATCGACCTGGTCCTTCCCGAGCATGGAGTTTTGGGCACGTCCTCTGGAGAGAAGACATCTCCACGTGGACGTGGAGACCGTCTTCGCGATGACGAAGAGAAAGCGCACGAAAAGGCTGCGCGGCCCGGACTCACCTCTCTACTCGTCCATCTGGCCGATGGTGTGCGTCGTGCGGATTTTCGGCTTCGCCCCCTACGAGTTCTCGCAGGACCGGCTGGTGCCGTCGAACGGCTACCTGATCTTCTCCGCGATCGCCGCCGTGCTTCACAGCTACATACTGTACATGGTGTTCCTGAGATTTACGAGCATCAAGCGGGAGAGCGCGGTTTCTAATGGAACGGAGGACGCGAAGGTCGGTGATGAGTGAGAAAAAATTTTCGGGGGAGCTAAAAAAAAGTAGATAAATCGAGGATTTATTATTCATTCATCCACGTGGAAGTGTCGGGGCGGGAAATTATTACGACATCAATTTTTCCCGACTGAAATTAAAACTCTCTCGACAGAATTCTCGGCTAAATTCTGTTGGTAAAAAGAAATAAAGGAAAAAAGATATTTAAAAAGTCAGAATTCTACTTGCAGATGAGACATTAATATAAAAGTACCAATGCGCCTGGATATCAATAATACCGATACTTAACACTAGACATTTTTATTGTTTTGTGAATATTTAAACGTGAATATTTGTTCTTAAACGTGAATATTTAAGTTTCCAACAGAATATATTCATGTTCAAAACAATAAGAATGTTCGGAGTTATGTACCAGTAGGCCGATTGTGCGACTTTTAACAACACAGTGTATCCTTATGTTATCGTTGCGCAGATACATGGTAGAAAAGCTGCGCAACGATACACCGTGCTAGCGACATAATCGTTATAAAGTTAGGAAATCAACTTACAGAGTGACTATTCTGTACACGTTTACTTATCGTTTACTATCGAATCGTTATGCCGTTGCGCAGCTCTTAATATGATTATATCTGTGCAACGACACATACGACCGAATCGACGGTTGTCGGTGAACGTGTACGGAATAAACGTTTCCTGTGTTATGCAACATAAAAATCACAAACAAGACCTTATATTCCGAATTATGTTATCAAATATTTTATATTGACGAGCGCTGAAACAATCGTTCAGGTGATCATCAACTACAGCGTGGTGATGTACGAGCTGGGTCTGACGATTTTCACGAGGCGCAGCTTCACAAGAATATGGAATGCCCTGCAGGATTATGACGAGGATGTCAGACAGCTGGGCTACCCTCGCAAGGAGATGAGAACCGCAATTGCCGGGTGGATCCTTACTATCGTGACAGCGACTGTGTGGACTATCCTCAGTTTCTTCGGGATGTACGCTTTTCGCGAAACGTGGTCCTTCAATGTGGGGTACATGCTGCCGTACATCGGCACCTCGATAGCTGTCTATAAGTTCGTGGGAATGGCATATTTTCTTGGACAACGGTTTCATCATCTCAACGCGATCGCGAGAAAAAATCTCCCTTCGCCGTCGCCTCGAGAGAGAACTACGCGTGTCAGCAGAAAGGTTGGAATTATTGAAATTAGTAATCTTTCTCGCAAAATGTTCGGTGCACCTCATATACATCGAGAAGAGAGAAAAATGAGATACGTATATTTTTTGTAGTATAATTTCTGTAGTATAATTTATATTTTCTGGCACAATTAGAGGTGGGAACAACTTTTCAAAGCCAATTTATTTGGTTTTAGATGAATATCTCTGAAATCATGAAATATGCAAGAGAATATTTCAGTTGAAAATATTTTATAATATATATTTTACCATTCTGTATTTTTAGAATTTCTACACGTATATTCTTCAACGTATTTTTTTACTCATTATTATCTTTACAAATATAAAAATTTTTAGCAAAATTAATGGCAAAAGTTAAAAAGAAAATTTTATAATAAATTCAATCATATTAATTATATTCAACCATATTCAATAATAATATTATTTTCTGAAGTTGTGTTGTTTTTGGGTTGCGGGTTGTAAAAGCTGCGTTGTAAGTAATCACATACGCGCTGCGTCAGCCCCGCTTGGCGGACCCACGCGGACTCGCGCTCCTAAGTAGATACAGATGCTTCGCGTCTAGCGAGATACGGTCGGGGCTGACGCAACACATCTGCTACTACTTACAGCGCAGTGTCTACATCTTGCTCTTTCAAAAGCGACGCCAGAAAATAATTTTATTTTACCTGATTGAATTTGACGTAAAAGTTTCGCCTTTACAGAAATTTTCAAGATCGTAAAAATGTTAATGAAAGGTCAAGTATATTGGAAAATACGAACATTTATATAAATGAATGAACTTACAAAGTATAACAAATAAATAACTTCTATAAAGTATTTTTTCATAAAACAGGTTTCAAAGAGATTACCATTTATAATAAAATACATAAATTAGTTTCAAGGGATTATTACAAACCCTAAATGTGCGAGAAAGAATTTGTAAAAAAATACACGTCTCTTGTATTTTTGTCTTCTTTACAATGGACTCAATATAATTGGCTCATAAAAATGAATTAGAAGCTCTTCCACAGATCTTTCTTCGTTAGAAAAAGTTCTTTTAAAAATTAAATAATATAACAATGCGTAATATTATCAGACTAAATTAAGATTCTCTCGAAATAAATCACACAAAATTCCTTACACTCAAAAATATTCCTTAACTTTTACCTGAAAATTTTATTTATTTTACTTAACTACACACTGAATTCTTATATGCACGTAAGACGATCCAAAGTCTGCACAATGATTTGATGCTTACTGCGGAGGATTTGGAGTCCCTGTACTCTTGGTCACTGCTATTCTGGCTCGGCAATCTCGGCTTGCACATCGTCACTAACGTATATTTCATCATTAACTGGATACGTGTGACCATATGGGAGATGGCGATATGGCCACTGACCCGCTGCATATGTACTTGGCTGTTGGCGTTCTTCATCCAGCTTCTGTTACTCCACATCGTCTGTGACTTCGCCTCTTCTCAGGTGAGACGATCCGTCCGATGCAAAGTGATGACGCGAAGTCACTCTCCTTCGTCTCGACTAGTATCGTTTCTTTGTGATAAAAGATGTTAAGATAACAACACATAATCACGACATATCACGACGAAAGTCTGTGAGCAGTGCGCGAAAATTGATTTTCACTTGCATAGAGCTGTCCGAAAGTTTTAGAATATGCCCAGCAAACAATTTGGTACCAAATTGTCGCCAAATTGACACCAAATATGGCCAAAACTTGACGGCAAATCCGATGCCATCTGCGTCCGCAATATGCTTGGATTTTGTTAGCAAAGCTTGGTGACAAAATCTGACGCCAAATTGTCGCCAAATACCGAGTAAAGTTTGGCGCCAAACTGCGCCGCACAAACCTTGGTCGGTATTTGGCATCAATTTTGCGTTAGATTTCACCAAGCTTTGTTCGGTATTTGGCATCAATTTGACGTCAAACTGCGCCGCACAAACCTTGCTCAGTATTTGGCGCCAATTTGCCAACAACCTTTGATTTGCAGATATTGTGTCCAATTTGATGACATTTTGGCAACAAAATTTGTAGTCAAGTGTCGAGCAAAATTTGCTCGAGCAGATTTGGCTATCTGGGTGATAAAAAAAACTCGATATTGCAAAAAAACTGTTCTATTTTTTGAGACACGAAAAAATGTACATTTGCATATATATTTTGCATGTACAGTTTGCATATACATTTTGCTACTTTTCCGAAGTAAGCAGAGTACATTCGGCATATCATCCATTGACACGTTTCAGTATTTCGGCACCCAAAAACTTTCTGACAGTACTGTAAGTATTATTGTATGTACAAGATTATGGTAGATACGTATAAATCAACATAATTTATATAGCTTCCTTTTCTTTACATGTGTCTGTAAAAATAAATGTGTTATTCTTATGTTTTCCAGGCCAATAATATGGGTTCGATCCTTATCGAGTGGCGAGTAAGATTGATGAGGAGAAACGAAGTGAGTGAATGAGAACCTAATTATTTTTGGCGTGTTTCTTTCGGCAGATATCATGTCAGATTACTTGCGCATGTGACATTCTCTTAAATGAAACTTCCGATTTTTATATAAATATAAAGCTCCTTCCATTTCAATACAAAATTTTCCCAATCACTACGTACATGTAATTCGGTGTCTCTTTTTGATTATTCTTTCGACATATGTAAGCAACTGTTTTGACACAACTACAATCAACATAGAAACTTTCTCTCGAATTCAGGAGTGCTTCGACTCGACTCTGCAATATCTAAATCGAAAGCTCAAGTTCTCCGCGGCCGGATGCTTCCACGTGAACTTGCCGTTGTTACGATCGGTAAGTAACGAAGACGACGTGAAAGACGCCGAACTTTAGGTCTGTTTTTTTTAATTGAACTAAGATAAACTTTTTGTTGCTGGAGTGAAACGAGTGTGTAACGTAGCGTTGAAGGAAAAAGAAACAAAGTTTCAGTGCAGCACTAGTTTAGTTAAAAAAGGAACAGATCCTTCAATTGACGCCATCTTTTATCTTTTATCTTAGTTCTTTTATCTTCATTCTTATATGACTAGTTAATTATACGATCTCTTTATATTAATGTATGTGTGTGTGACTAAATCGCGCGCGATAATTGGCATGCATTAACTGAGACTACGGCTTGCCGTTCAGATTCTAATTCGCATCAGGTACACAAAGTTACGCGCGTACGTGTCGAGAGATAAGGATACTTTATAACGTCGAGAACATCACGCGCGCAGTTGAGACTCGCGCGTTATTGCCGTCGAGATATAAATAGATAAAATCCGTCGCGTCAAAATTGCAGATTCGCTGAATTATCTAGATTGTTTCTCGTGGAAAATTAAACACGTTACTCACCGCGATGTTATCACGACGACGACGACGACGACTTAAAGAGGAACGGGTAGTCCTGCTTCTCCGACGCGTCGATGGATCAGTCGTCATAATCGGAGTGAGAAACGCGTGTTGTAAGGGTCAAAAGCGCCGCTTGACGAGGTAACAAGCCTCATTAAGGTCACAAAACCCTGACAGGAATAAAAATTAGGCAAAATTTGGGGGGTTATAAAAAGTGGTAAATTAATAGTAATAATTAATATGAGTTTTTTGTTATGTATGCTATTAAGTACATTTAACAGTATCTTGGTATACAAAATTATAAAAAAGTTATGATAAATATTAACATCACTGTGACAATCAATTTTATTCTACAAAAGAATTATACTTCAGTGGTAACTACCTTTATAACAGGAGTGAAATCGATATTAATACATTTTTTTATTTATTAGGGTTATAGAGTTATCGGTTCTCTCACGGTGCGGATTTTGAAAAAAAAATATTTCACAAAATGTGGGAGTTATAAAAAATAAAATTTAATCTTCTCACTGAAAAAATCAGGCTTGCAAAATAAATAAATGAAAAATGGTTTTGAAATTCGCGAAAAGTCTCTGTGAATCAACAACTACAACACTAATAAATTAAAAAATGTGTTGATATCAATTTCATGTCACTCCTGTTGAAGCTAATGGTTATTATTAAAACATGATTCTTTTGCGGAATAGAACTGAAACGAACACGATGATATTTATATTTTCCAAAAAATCTATTTTTCGTTACTAAAACATTGTTAAATGTATTCAATAGACATACGTAACAAAAGATTCATATATTCCTATTGATTTACAACTTCAATTAATTTCGTACAACTCCCTGAATTTTACCGAATTTTTTACTCCCGTCAAAATCCTGTGACCCCTTAAATATCCTCTATATATTTATCACAATCTCGAAAGTTCCTGAAAAATAAAGTATTCCCAAGTGCGATCCGTGTAAGTGGAGTCACAAAGGATCTTCGTGAATCGCGATATTATTAATTATTCGTCTAATCGTGAAACGAGGCTGATCCTGGCGAAATAATCGCGATCGATTTGCGTCGGCGGACAGCACGCGCGGCGCTAAGAAGACCGCTATTAAACTCGGCCGTTTCTCAAACTGACACCGGTCGGTTTCCGACGTGACAAAGGTTAATTGGCCGCGGTCCGATATCTCCAGGTGAATTCTGTGACGCCGCGTAAATGCCGGCTTAAACGCGCCCGTAAATCGTGAAAACGACACGGCGACCCATTCGATCTCCAGCTTGCGGGCGAAACTGGACGAAACTTCTTGCGCGTATAGCCGGATCAATGCGCGATAGCCGCCGCTTGGAATTAGTACTCTTGCGGAACTTTACGACTCGTCGCGTAGTTGCGCAGTCGGCGAGCACTCGGAGAAGAGGACGATACTCGAGACTCTCTCAAGATTTCCAGGATAATTCCTATACTCCAACTTCGCTCGTCCGGTCGAGTATTGTCGTTAGATTAACGCTTTCCCGCACTTGGTTACCAAGTACATTTACGAAGTCTCCGTATGTATTTCGTTGAGTCGCCGGTAGCGAACTAAAGTTAACAATTCGCCACGTGTATAGATGACGAGATGTGATATGAGATATTAGGTTGTGGTGCAAAAGATTTGTCAGTCTTCTGTTAAATTCTTGTCAAAGGTTTAGTGGTAACCATTAGCTTCAACAGGAGTGAAATTGGTATCAATACATTTTTTAATTTGTTAGTGTGTAGTTGTCGATTCACAGAGGCTTTTCGCGAATTTCAAAACCATTTTTCATTTATTTATTTTGCAAGCTCGATTTTTTCAGTGAAAAGATTAAATTTTATTTTTATAGATAACGAGATGTGATATGAAATATTAGGTTGTGGTGCAAAAGATTTGTCAGTTTTCTATTAAATTCTTGTCTAAGATTGGGTATTTAGAAGAAGATAGAAGTCCTCATCAAATATCTAAAAAAAAGTACCGAATCGTTGTTCATTTAATTCGCAGACGAAGAAGAAAACTTTAATAAACACATCAATGCGTTTTGGTAAAAGGACATGGAATTTTTGGTTCTTACGATACAAATTTAGTTCTAAGAACCAGAAATTCCGTTTTCTTCAATCAAAATGCCTTGGTTCGTTTGTTACCAATATTTCACATTACCAATCAAACTTTCTTTCTCCACATAAAAATTATGAATCCTTCGAAATTAGATAATTCCGTTTTCTATTTTATTTGACAAATACGACAAACCTTTCGCATCAACCTAATAACATGATATTATATAATATGATATATAACATGACATGACATGATAAAATATGAGAGAGAGGTATAATATAGGATATGATATTATTTGATGTGTTATGATAACATTATAAGGTTATTTATTAGTTTACACAAGGTCGATACACGTGCGAGAATAATAAAAATTAATCCATTATTATCCGTGTATCTTATATCATGCATTTTAATAACATCACATTGTGTAATACATGATATGATTTTGTGACGATCCGCTACACGCTTTTGTCCTTTACTCTTGAGTATTTTCTACCAGTTTTACGCGGATCAAAACTACTTTCAGATCGCCGCTTTGCTGACCACATACCTAGTGCTATTGCTGCAGTTTCCGGAGTGAAAGTGCCCTGGAGATAAAAGCCAGAAGGAGAGAGAAAGAGAGAGAGGAGAGAATCGTAAAATCGCTCTGAATTTCGTGCCATAAATTTTGAACGCATATTCCATCGAATCAACACATGTGAAAGGTCAGTTTTGCATCGATGATCCTTGTAATATTAGACCAATCAAATATGTATTTGTTGAAATTGCATTAGCTGAATATTGTTTGCATAGGTATAACACACTGATCGTAATAAATCTCGTTTGATTTCACGGTGAAATAAATGTTGGATGTAACAACTTGTGCAGTTTCATATCCTCCACAATTGGTGAAACAAAATTTTCTTTTACCGCATGTCTCCAAAAATCGCGGAAAGATAGTTTCGCTATTAATTCGGCAATTAATACATTCAATTGTCGGTGAACACTTTCGTCTGTCACTCGTCGTAAATTTTACATCCGATCGCACGTGCCGTCTACCGATTTCCGATAAGTTCCCGTTTTTCTCACGTTGGGCTACATCCGCTTTAAACTACTTTCCGTAGGGCGGCAGTGCGACTGAGAGCGGCGCCGGCGGCCAAGGATGCGCGCAGTTGCGTTTGCATGAGAATTGTGTCCGTCACTGATTACAGCTTCTTTTAAATTCGGTGTTCCAAAGAAGCCATCTTTTGTCATGCGAGCGCCGCAAATTCAATGGCAAAGCGTGATCGCGCGACTGCACCCACAGAGATATAATCATTGAACAGACGGATTCTGATAAAAAAAATTCACTCGATTCAATTGTAACATCGCCATTCTGTGAAAAGATTTCTATACGCGGTACTGGAAACATATTCACGCTGAATCTTGTAACTTGCGAGTACGTGTTTAATTGAGGAACCGATAATTTGCGCGTATAAATACCCCAAGTATAAAAATTTCCAGGAAAAACTGGCCACTAGGCAGAAACTGGTTAATTTTTACTAGCTAGGATTTATTAGACAATAAGTTATTATTAAAAGAATAATTTTCAGCTAGTTGCTGACTAGAAACTGGTTGAATTTCTTCTGGGATAATTTCTCGTCATCCGGAGATCGTGGCTCGATCTCACGCGAGCGCGCATTCTCGCGAGATTTATTATAAATTATCGCCTGCTTTCGTGGCAGTCTCGTGCTTCAAGCTGACGCGAAGAAAATTAACAATTTCATAAATTACAAAACACATTGCGACGGCCCGACGGGACGCAGCTTGTCTAATCTTGCGCGGTCAATTTATCGTCGATTCAGTCATCGGACGGGAAAGTTCCTTAATACAATTGTGCAACGCGGTCGCTTCGCTCGCAGCTTTCCGAATGGATTTGGACACTGAGCATCGGGCGTGTACGAAACAGTCGTCGTTCCTTTGAGTCAGAGACGGGAAGAGATGGAATGAGGTAAAACGAGATCGGAAAGAAGCTCGACAGAGAAGGCGAAAGGGGAAATAGAACATTCGCAAACAAGTAAAAAGAGCGACCTTTTTCAGTAATAGATAATTTTCAGGAATTTCGGTTGCTGGTTAGTTCATGGTCAGTTGAGGCGACGGTTGCTTTGCCAGTAATTGAACAGTAAAGCTAGTTAGTTTCTGGCCAGTTTCTAATCACACCTTTTTTGTTGTATAAAATTAAAGTTTTTTTATCGTTCAATTCTACATTGTAAAATATTATATTTTGCTGTTCAATATAAACATAACATAAAACTCGTATACAGAAGGCAAAGTTTTTTCACGTGCAAATTTATTCGATTTATTTGATTATTGAAATTATTGTAGCTTTACTTTTAATTATCCTTTTTTCTTGCCTCAGTCAGTTTCTGGCCAGTAATGAAAAATATTGACCGGTATTTTTCTGCCCAGTTTCTGAGTAGTCGTTACTATCTAATAAATCCTAGCTAGTAAAAACTGGCCGGTTTCTCGATAGTGACCAATTTTTCCTGGAAATTTTTCTACTTGAATTCATGTAAAAGAAGACACCCAATATTTCGTATAAGCTTCCTTTCTCTCTCTCTCTCTCTCTCTGTCTCTTCCTTTTGCTCACTCACTCTCTCGTCTCGCGAAGGTTTCCTTTAAAGAAGACGTATCGAATTCAATTTGTTTTACGTCGCCAACGTATAATTATCATACATGAATAATCGACGGTTAACCAAGTTCTCGTAAAACGCAAATTTTATTCCTGTATCTCGTAAAAACACAGGATACCCAAGTCCCGCGGAAGTTCCTACACGTTAATCAAAGATCGTTCACGACACTCCAAAGATCTTCAAGGATACTTCGAGCAAATATTTCTGCGTGTTAACGAAGTCCCAGGGGGAAAGTTTAAGGAAAGTTTAAGGAAAGATCGCGATGATGTTTACGATTTCCCGGGTCGTGCATACTTCGTTCTGCTTCTTCCTATAATGTCTTACGCTTCGCTGTGTCGACATTTCAGTGATGAATATTCAGTAACATTTGACTCTATTCAGTCAATAATATTTCAGTCAGTAATTATGTTGTTTTATATATTCATCAAGGAGTGGCATTAATATCAGTTATAAAGTATTGTCATTATATCCTTGTCTGTTTAAATATAACGTTTATTTTGTATTTCTAGCAATATCTTCTGATTTGTAATTGGCGTCCAAAAAAGTATTATTATTGTTATACATCACGGAGATCGTCACGTTTCGCGTTTGAAATTCGTCGAAGGTCGCACAAGCCGTTCGAAAAAGTTGTTTCTTAAGATTTTTATATGTACATTTTTTATGCGCGTTCCGTTTTATTATTTACCAAATTACATAAAGCGTCGCGTATATGGCTCGTTCACTTCACGTTTTCCTCACCTCGTAACATTATAAAAAAGAAAGCCAATGCTACGTCGCAAATATCGTGTTATCACGACTGTAGAGAGTCCCGCGAAGGGTCTCTCTCTCTCTCCTCTGTTTCTCCCTCTCCTCTGAGAGAGAAGGGGACACACTCGTTTTTTCGCATACGTAAACCGCGAATCGTAAAAGACAGCTTCACGAGCTTACGATCGGTCACCCGGGCTGGCGGAGCGACTCGGTGTCGCCGGGACTTCCTCCCTGTTATCGACACATTTTATTAGTTTACGTCGAGAGCAACACGGCGGTCGCGCTGTGGAGCGAAACAACCCCGCTATCGGCGCGCGAAGACGCGCCGATCGACGTGCGCCGCCTTCAAACGACGGAAGGTCCGGACGTTGATAAATGACGGGGGTTGGCGCTATGGGACCGTTAAAAGCATACAGGGTCGTCGTGATGTTTGGAATTTTCGATTTCGACAACGTTCTCTCCATCTCTCTTCCGCTCTCTTTCTCCTGCCCTTCCCCCTCCGACCCCTCGACCGTCCGCATCAACGATCTATTTGCCGGTAACTCCGGTAACTCACTCGTCGAGTAACTCCCTCGCTCATCGAATACGCTCACCTACTTCCGCGAGCGATGAGGTGGGACCTTAGACGTAAGCTATGAAGACGGATCGGGATATGTGTGTGTGTGTGTGTGTATAAGACAGAAAGAGAGAGAGAGAGAGAGAGAGAGAGAGAGAGAGAGAAAGCTACTGAAATATTAAAATCCTTAGAAGACGCTGTATAAAATTCAATAATCGCAAGTTAAAGAAATCTTGCATACTTGTCACGCAGCTAGGAATTTTATTAGCCGGTACTGATGCACAGTCGATTCTAAATCGATTTACATACATTTTACTGAATGAAGTTTTAACGCTTCAAGTTGCCAGAATTGAAAGTCTTTGCTGACATGTAGTCTCTGCTGACATGACTTAAATATGTATTATAAAAGTCGTTATTTGTGAAATTTGTCTCAGGTAAGATACCCAGATTTTGGCTTAAATATTAATAGTCATTATTTAAAATTCGCCTCACGTGAAATACTCATATTTAAATTTAGAGTTAGATGAGAGTTTTTTTTCAGTTAAATCGCGCTACTACTGATATAAATGTCACACTTATCATAATTCAACTGAAGAACTTGGATCTGATTCTGAATAAAAATCCAATTATCTCACATGGGACAAGTTTTAAGTAACGATTATTAGTGCAAACGTTAAATGTGAGTTTCTCAGCTGAATTGCGATCGCAAATATATAATGCTATATATATTATATAATTCAAATAACGACTACTAATAGGCCTTTTAGTTGCAAAACAGCTTGGACACAATGAAGTTGGAATCTATGATATATCATATAGTCAAAATTTCGACAAGAAGACATTATCGACAAGAATTGCGCAGTATATATAATTATATTATTTATTATAGATTTATTATATCGATTTGCAATCGATCATATGCACGATGAAATACAAAGAAGAAACGATTGCACTCCAATAATAACGAAGAATATTATCCCACAGACTTTTAAAGATTTTAATTTTATTTCACAGAGAAAGATGTTGGAAACGTTACGAAGAAACTTTTAGCTCGCATTTTGTTTAGTTTGACGCAACTATGCTGTGAATTTTAACGGCTCGAATCGCGACAAACCACAATAATTTTACGTAACACGGAATTAAAGAAGAGATAGGGTCGCGCGACGCGACGGTGTTTTCGTCATTTTGTTGCGAGCGAGAGTGACGAGAATGACTCCGGTATCAAAAACACTAAAGAGCTCAGTCTGCGCGCTCCATTTCGAGGGATCTACACTCGGATTTCACGTCGGCGTGAATTTTATGTAGATTTTACTTTGGTGTAAATTTTATTAGTTTACGCCGGCGAGAACTCTGGCAAAAGCAGAGCGCTAGAGAAGAGTTGGCTATTCGCCTCGTCGTTGCAAAAGGCGGGCTGCTGCGCCGTTTTGTATCAGGAAGCGTTTTATAGCGCGCAGATTCGATACTGTCAAAGAAATTATCTCTCGAGCGCGTTAAAAGTGGTTAGTGCAATTTCTCGAGAAGGTTAAAAGCATTGAAAATCTCTGGTTAGACGGATATTCTTTTTCTTTCTCTGTATATATACGCTATATATATATATATATATATATATATATATATATATATATATATATATATATAGAAAAAAAAATATATATATATAATTAGAAAAAAGTAAATATTTCAATCTATTAATGAATAAATTCAAATAAATCCTTTCACACAAAATTAATTTCCTCAAAATGCATGGAATAATGCATGCAATTTAAATATGTAAAATAATCATAAATATTATACCAAATATTGTACCAAATATTATTAAATATTTTATATTTTTAATTTTAGTGTTTTTATATTTTTTATATTTTTACATATTAATATTTTATATTTTTAATATTTTTATATTTTTATATTTTTATATTTTAATATTTTATATTTTTTATATTTTTTGTAACTCTGCCATATTAATCATATGCTTTATGTAACTTTATACGTAAAGTTTGTAGAAAGTGTATATTCTAGAACTAAAATAAATGTTTTTCCTTTTCTCTCTCTTACCTTCGTATTTGCACGTCGACAATGTGATAGTCGCTGGCTCTTGCGCGCAACTAGTGATAACAGACGATTCTGGCCAGACTGGAAGAAACGCCGCTCGTTTTTCTCCAAGAATCCGAGAAATCAAATTTCCCCGTCCCTCCCGGGACATTTCGCCGCTCTGTCCATTCGTTCTCGCGGAATGCGCGCTTAAACGACTCCCGACCCTGGCGACTTTTCGGAAAGGCAAAAAAGGAGAAAAAAGAAACGGTATTTTTTGTCGACGGTGACATTTCGCGAACGCGAAGCTGCGAACATTACGAGCCGCGAACAGCGGTTCAGGCAGGAATGAGCGGGAAAAGAAGCAATGAAAGTCGCCGTGGACAGTCGGCAATGTTACCGCGACGACGTTGCATCTATTTTCCACGCCATCGCTCCGGAAAATTGCTCCTTTTGTCGACTCGCGCACCGATATTCTCTCTCAAGCAGATGCATGCGAATTCTTCCCGATGCTCGTCGCTGCACGTGACGTCTCGAAAAAATTTACGTGTTATACAGATATAGCGGCGGAACGGGATAAAAATTTATTATGCATAGAACGATAGTGCCGACATACTTTCCACGTATTTGAAAATATCGCGCACAACGAATTGATTCTGATTTAGCAGACCAGTCTGTGCGTATTTTTATACAGAAACCAATTGTGAAGAAGGATTATTCGTGAAATCGGATTATCTCTCTCCTCGTAAGTTGCTCGAGTGCGTTGTACCTAAAAAATCAATAAAATATCAATGCTGTGAAAACATAGACATGTAAAATAGACTGCGCATTGCTGTAGGAGAAACGAAGTCATTAGTAAGAAAGGACAATCCTTATCCAATTATCTAGCAAGAGTACGATCTATTCTACAAGTCTATAGTGTTGAAAAACAGCTGACTTGCATCGAGAGAATTTTGACGACGTGTCACTGCTTCCGGAATTAAAATCTAAGACGGAGGCATATTGTGCTACTTCATTAATACGTCACCGGCAGGTGCCGTTGTATTAATTTGCAGTGATTTACGGCACGCAGGGTTCGACGTTAATTCGATTTAACGAGTTCGTTACCTCGTCTCCTTGATAACACCAGTCGTGGGATCCGAGTAGCGCGACCGGCGGAATCCCAAATCCAGGCAAGATTTATGGTGGAGTGGAGTATCCAATATTATTCCAGACCGCCAAGGGCTTAAAAGCGAGAACCTCCCTTGGAAAAGAAAGATACGCGCGTCACGAGACGCGAATTCCTCGTCGAATTCACTCGGTTTCGGCGTAAGACAGCTGTAATTCTCTCAGTCTTCGTAAACTCTCCGCAGGAGATCCAGCTGAGGTGGAGAGCGTCGAATTACTTTTTCCGAATCGCTCTCGAATTTTTGTGCGATCTTATCGCTGAACTTTGACATCGTGCGGAAAAACACGACGACCAAATAAATTTTCGCGGCGACGGGCAGGATCCGACTCCGGAATGGTCGCGTAAGTCCGTGGAAACGTCCACAAAAAGAAAAAAAATCCCACCAAGACGAAAGTGTCCCCGGATAGCCAGTACGAGTAGAAGCGTAGGCGAGTCTCGATGTATACTTACGTCACTACTAGCTTACGAGCGTGGGCGGGAAAGTGCAAACGCCATCAGCTACGTCACAGAGAATGTACGCGCTGTCGGCCCACTTCGATGTATCAGAAGCGAATTCGTTCCAAATGCTCAAGGGAACAACGATCCAACTCGAAAGGTCAATTTTAAAAAGTGCATGTCGCGTTATTAATATTTGCTCTACTCACCCAGTGTCCTCCGTGGACCGATTTTTCGGTTGCGAGAGAGAGAGAGAGAGAGAGATATATATATATATATATATATATATATATATATATATATATATATATATATATA